TGCCTTTTTGTTTTGTTAATGGTTTCCTTTGCTGTGCAAAAGCTATTTTGATATAGTCCCAATAGTTTATTTTTGCTTTTTGTTTCCCTTGCCTTAGGAGACATATCTAAAAAAAAAAAAAATGTTGCTATGGACAATGTCAAAGAAATTACTGTCTGTGTTCTCTTCTAGGATTTTTATGGATTCAGATCTCACATTTAGCCCTTTAATCCATTTTGAGTTTGTTTTTGTATATGGTGTTAAAAGACCTTCCAGTTTCATTCTTTTGCATATAGCTGTCCAATTTTCCCAGCACCATTTGATGAAGAGACTGTCTTTTCCTCATTGTATATTCTTATGTTGTTTGTCATGGATTAATTGACTATATAAGTGTAGGTTTATTTCTGGTGTCTCTATTCTGTTTTATTGATACATGTATCTGTGCCAATACCTTTCTATTTTTTTTTAAAGATTTATTTATTTATTTATTTATTTAACTGACACAGAGAGAAAGACAGCGAGAGAGGGAACACAAGCGGTAGGAGGGTCAGGGGGAGAAGCAGGCTTCCCGCCGAGCAGGGAGCCCGATGCGGGGCTCAATCCCAGGACCCTGAGATCATGACCTGAGCTGAAGGCAGTCGCTTAACAAACTGAGCCACCCAGGCACCCCAGTACCTTTCTATTTTGATTACTACAGCTTCATAGTCTTATCTAGAAATCTGGAATTGTAATACTTCCAGCTGTATTTTTCTTTCTCTAGGTTGCTTTGGCTATTCAGGGTCTTCTGTGATATAATAAAAATTTTAGGATTATCTGTTCTAGTTCTGTGAAAAATTTTGTTTGTATTTTGATAGGGATTGCATTAAATCTATAGATTGCTCTGGGTAGAATGGACATTTTAACAACATTTGTTCTTCCAATCTATGAACATGGAATATTTTTCCATTTGTTTATGTCATCTTGAATTTCTTTCATCAGTGTTTTTTAAAGATTTTTTATTTGTTTGAGAGAGAGAATGAGAGAGAGAGCATGAGAGGGGGGAGGGTCCGAGGGAGAAGCAGGGAGCCCGATGCGGAATTCGATCCCGGAACTCCAGGATCATGACCTGAGCCGAAGGCAGTCACTTAACCAACTGAGCCACCCAGGTGCCCCCATCAGTGTTTTATTGTTTTCAGAGTATAGGTCTTTTGCTTGTTTGGTTAAGTTTATTCCCAGGTATCTTATTCTTTTAATATAATTGTAAATGGGATTGTTTTCTTAATTTCTCTTTCTGCTACTTTATTATTACTGTATAGAAATGCTACTGACTTCATGGTATAAGTTCTTTTATCCTGCAACTTTACTGGATTCATTTATTACTTCTAGTAGTTTTTTAGTGGAGTCTTTAGGATTTTTTATGTATAGTATGTCATCTGTAAATACAGTTTAACTTCTTTACCAGTATGAATACATCTTTGGTTTCTGATTTTTTGGTAATCGTGAATAAAGCTGCTATAATCCTTGGTGTACAGATGTTTGGGCATAAGTGTAAACACATACAATTATTAATGCTGGATCGTATGCTAAGTGTATGTTTACCCTTATACAGAACAACCAAACTCTTTCATCATGGTTGTGCTCTTGTACATTTCCATTAGCAGCATATGAGATTTTTTGGTGTTCTTTTTCTGGATCTTATTTCCATACGGCATACTGTTTTTCAGTAAAATTCCTGGAAATTTATCACTCCAGATTCCTTTCCTTATATTCAGTAATTGTTTTTTTCTCTCCAAAATCCCTAGTATTCCATAAGTTTACAGAAACCTTTCATCATGTCTTTGACCTGTATCAATGCCTAAGAAATTATAGAGATATTATTCTATTTGCCTTGATACAAGAATGAGTATGAGGACACATGAGACGGCATAAAGAAAGCAGACCGTGAAGTAAAGATAAGTAAACAAAGGCAATTTGGTATTGTGGTTGAAAAGGACAGGGAGAACTAATGAAGATATCTCTGGAAAGTACCTAGGAAGCAGTATGAAAGAGGCAAGGTAATTGGAAAAGTATGATCACTTTTTCCATTTTAATCTTAGATTTAGTATGGAAGTACTTTTGTTTCCATTTGTAAGGAGGTGTTGGGGAAAGCCATAGATCAGTAGTTTCCAGGCATCTATGCTTAAGGTTAGGAGAAATTTACTACAAAGGGATAGCACAAGAGTATTTAGGAATGACAGAAGTGTTGTATCATTACTTTTGTAGTGGATACGTGACTTGAGCCCTTATAGATCTGTTTCTTTTGTCTTTATTCTCCTGTTTTTCAGTTGTCTGTGTATCCTCATCACCTGGTTATTTTTTATTGAGTGCTAGACATTGTAAGGAAAAATTATGAAAGTAATTTGAAGCCTCGGGTGAATCTTCAGTGAAGATTTTAATACGCTTTGTGGCAAATAATCTTAAATTACTTGAGTCCACATTTCTTGGTTGAGTTGATTCAAAGATGGTTCAGACTTCGGACCCTGCCCAGACTGGTCTACTGTTTTTCCCTTGTTCCTTATTTTTGTAGCCCTCAGGGTTCCCAACTCTAAGTATGACTTTATAGAGGGCCCTGTTCTCTAGTTATTGCCCAAACCTTAAGAAACAGTCCAATACACCACTTAGTTTTTCCATGTCTCAGTTGTCTTTTCTTGAACTGTAGGACCTCCGTGAGTGGAAAAGTGACCTAAAATGATTAGCTTATTTCTTTGAATTTTCATGTTTTTCAGCTTTCAGCCCACCGACTCTTTATTACAATAGCAGTTCTTTAGTGCCTTCAGTCAGGTGCCCATATTATCTTGTCCAATTTGTGTAATTGCTCTCATCAGGAAGTTTGCTTTAAATTACCTAGTCTTCTGTTAGTAGAAATGGATATTTATGATATATGAACAGGTATTTAAATTGAGACCTGAAAGATGAGAAAAAGTCAGTATCTCATGCACAGTAGTCCAAAGACATCAAACAGGCTCTAGTTAGTTGTAAGTTGAAATTGCTCTTTAGTTTTTTCAGAGCTAAAAGGAATCTAGTATGTTTGGCAAATAATGAGCAAAACTGAGAAGGCTCATGGAGAGAAATCAGATAAGTTGGGACTGCACCATGGAGTGCTTTGTGAAAGTCATGGGAGGCATTTGGATTTTATTCTAAGTTTAATGTGGAAGCTATTAAAAGTTTTAGGCAGAGATAGCAAATCATGATCTAAATCAGAATCAGTTTGTAGAAAGTATTAAAACTAGAGATCACCATGCTCTTTTTCTGATGCACTAGATTCAGATCAGTTAGTCTGGTGTGGTATCTGGACATCTTTAATTTTATCAAAGTCCCCAGTGATTTTGATCCCCCCAGTTTGAGAACCATTGGCTTAAAAATGTTTTCTCTCCCCTTACTTTCTTAGTAGATTTTCATTATACTCTGATCTCTGGTGCTCTTTTTACATGTTAGTATGTAAGACCATTCTATGCTAATATTTTTTTGAAACCCTAGGCAGGAACATATTACTGCATGCAGCATGAAATCAGTTTAGTGGGTTTTGACTCTCTGTGTGTGAGTGTGTGTGTGTGTGTGTATGTGTGAGTGAGAGGAGACTGGAATAGCATAGAAAAAATAGAACAGGGTAGATATTGTTTAATGAAACTGTATGGGTCAGGTTGTGATGTGAAAGGTAAGTAGGTATTAGTATAGGTCATAGTAAATATCTGAAAAGCACTGATGTAAGCCAGTTATTTCTTGTGAGTATTAGTTACCTATATCAGATCCTCACCTTACAACTCCTGTCCCAATAATCCCATTGTGAGTGAAAATTTTGTAAGTTTAATACACCTACCAAACATCAGAGCTTAGCCTATCCTACCTTAAACATGCTCATAACACTTAAAATAGTCTATAGTTCAGCAAATTATCTAACATAAAGCCTATTTTATGATAAAGTGTTGAATACCTCATGTAATTTTTTAAATACTATACTGGAACTGAAAAGCAGAATGGTTGTATGGGTACAGAATGGTTGTAAGTATATCAGTTGTTTACCCTCATCATCATATGGCTGCCTGGGAGTTATAACTTACTACCACTGCCTAGGATCATGAGAGTATTGTACTGCATATTGCTAGCTCAGGAAATTATCAAAATTCAAAATTTGAAGTACAGTTTCTATATGTTGCTTTTTTATTTTTTTAAGATTTTATTTATTTGTCAGAAAGAGAGAGAGAGCACAAGCAGGGGGAGTGGGAGAGGGAGAAGCACGCTCCCCGCTGAGCAAGGAGCCCAATGCGGGACTCGATCCCAGTACCCTGGGATCATGACCTGAGCTGAAGGCAGATGCTTAACTGACTGATCCACCCAGGCATCCCTGTATGTTGCTTTTGTACTATCATAAAAATAAAAAAATTTTAAGTTGAACCATCATAAATTGGTTACTGTCCATATCTGTTTTCTTTTTTTTTAAAGATTTTATTTATTTATTCATAAGAAACAGAGAGAGTGAGAGGCAGAGGGAGAAGTAGGCTCTCCGCTGAGCAGGGAGCCTGATGTGGGACTCGATCCCAGGACCCTGGGATCATGACCTGAGCCGAAGGCAGATGCTCAACCATCTGAGCCACCCAGGTGCTCCCATATGTATTTTCATATATAGTCTTTTCTACTATGGGTTCTCCTGAAATGATAACAGGAATTTTTCATGTTCTCTTATCTTTCAGACTTGCCTTCAAGAAGTGCAAATAAGGATTTATCTCCAAAAAAGGACACTTATGAAACAGAATTATCCCAATGGGAAATGAGTGCCAGGCTTGAAAACTGTGACCTTGAGGAGTCCAGTTCCAGAGATTATTTGGAAGTCAGAGGCACATTGGAAAAGCAACAAGAAAATCAGGAGGAATATTTCAGGCAAGGGATGATCATATATGAAAAAATGTCCATTTTCAATCAGCATGCTTACTTATCTCAACATCCTAGGTGTCATTCTACTGAGAAACCCTATAAATGTAAGGAATGTGGGAAGGCTTTTAGACGAGCCTCACACCTAACTCAACATCATAGTATTCATACTGGTGAAAAACCCTATGAATGTAAGCAATGTGGGAAGGCCTTTAGTCGTGATTCACAGCTCATTCTTCATCAGAGACTTCATACTGGTGAGAAACCCTATGCATGCAAGGAATGTGGGAAGGCCTTTACTCAGAGCTCACAACTTATTTTACATCACAGAATTCATACTGGTGAAAAACCGTATAAATGTGAAGAATGTGGGAAAGCCTTTATTCGTAGCTCACAACTCACCCGACATCAAAAAGTCCATACTGGTGAGAAACCTTATGAATGTAAAGAATGTGGGAAGGCCTTTACTCAGAACTCACAACTTACTCTGCACCAGAGACTTCATACTGGTGAGAAACTCTATGAATGTAAAGAATGTAGAAAGGTCTTTACTCAGCTCTCACAACTTATTTTGCATAAGAGAATTCACACTGGTGAAAAACCTTATGAATGTAAGGAATGTGGGAAAGCTTTTATTTGTGGCTCACAGCTTTCTCAACATCAGAAAATTCACAATGGGGAAAAGCCATATGAATGTAAGGAATGTGGAAAGGCCTTTATTCGTGGCTCTTTGCTTATGCAACATCAGAGGATTCATACTGGGGAAAAGCCCTATAAATGTGACGAATGTGGGAAAGCCTTTATCCGTGGCTCACAACTTACTCAACACCAGAGAATTCATACCAATGAGAAGCCCTATGAATGTAAGGAATGTGGAAAGACCTTTAGTCATGGCTCACAACTTACTCAACATCAGAGAATTCATACTGGTGAGAAACCCTATCAATGTAAGGAATGTGGAAAGGCTTTTAATCGTGGCTCACTCCTTACTCGACATCAAAGGATTCATACTGGTGAAAAACCCTATGAATGTAAAGAATGTGGAAAGACGTTTAGTCGTGGCTCAGAACTTACTCAACATGAGAGGATTCACACCGGTGAGAAACCCTATGAATGTAAGGAATGTGGAAAGTCTTTTATTCGTGGCTCACAGCTTACTCAACATCAGAGAATTCATACTGGTGAGAAACCGTATGAATGTAAAGAATGTAGAATGGCCTTTACTCAGAGTTCACATCTTTCTCAACATCAGAGACTTCATACTGGTGAAAAACCATATGTATGTAATGAATGTGGGAAGGCCTTTGCTCGTGGCTTGCTCCTTATACAGCATCAGAGAATTCATACGGGTGAGAAACCGTATCAGTGTAAGGAATGTGGGAAGGCCTTTATTCGTGGTTCACAACTTACTCAACATCAGCGAATTCACACTGGAGAAAAGCCTTATGAATGCAAGGAATGTGGGAAGGCCTTTAGTCATGGCTCTCAACTTACTTTACATCAAAGAATTCATACTGGTGAGAAGCCCTATGAATGCAAAGAATGCAGAAAAGCATTTACTCAGAGCTCACATCTTTCTCGACATCAGAGAGTTCATACTGGTGAGAAACCCTATCAATGTAAGGAATGTGGGAAGGCCTTTACTCGTGGTTCACAACTAACTCAACATCAGAGAATTCATATCAGTGAGAAATCTTTTGAATATAAGGAATGTGGGATAGACTTCAGTCATAGCTCACAAGTTTATATATGAATTATCTGATTCTTTGTGATTAAGATAGCCTTCTCTGGTCACTAATCCATTATTATCAAAGAATTCCTAAAATGTGAATATGGGAGCATATTTGCCTCATAAAGTTCAGCATCAGTGAATTCTAATGGGGGAAGATAACTATTAATGTAATCTATGTAGAAAAACCTATCATTACTGGAAACCTATTAAACTTTAGCATATTATAATAGAGAATAATTCTGTTAATATAGTAAATATATTGAGGCCTTTAGCTGTAGAATATGTCTTTTTCAACATTACCCTGTCTCTACCAGCTGCTTTCCTTCATGACATTTATCATAATTAACCTCTGCTTTGGTTTAATCATTTATAAGATAGGCCTAAGAATAATACCTTCCTTGTAAGATTCTTGGAAGTATTATGCGAAACATTTCATGTAAAGCTCTTAGAGCAGTGCCTTGAACATAGCATATCACAAGTATTAGCTATCATTATTACTAGTATGATTTTAGAGAATTTGCATGAGAAGAGGAAACTTAGGAGTATAAGGAATATTAAGAAATCTTTCATTAACACTTGACCCTGACTCTTTGAGTGGGGGGCACTGTATGCTGTAATGAATATGAGAAAGCTTTCATTCATATCTCATCCCATATACTAGAAGAGGAAACTCACTGTTGGGGGGGGAAACCCACAAAACATTGTAGATTTAATCAGTGGATTGTTGAAGAGAGGTGAAGTGAATTGTAACAAGGTCCAGAAACTCATATGTCCTATCATTTTTTTACCACAATTCAAGAATATTATTTAGAAATGAATAACAATGGATAGCCAAAATAAAATTTCCTACTAGGAAATTTCTAAAAACTTGAATGTACAGCTTTTGAATTAAACTAAAAATAAACCAACATTACTATTTTTTGGTGAAACATGATGACAGTCTGTCAGGGACTGTTATTTCCCTACCCAATATCCATTTTTCCTTTAGAATTCTTGGCTGAAAAATCATCTCAGCCCCTCTTGCAGGTCAACAAGATGGAAGTGGTATTGTACATGTAGGACATTTAAGAATACCTTTTCTCTCTTTGTATTTCTTTGTTTCCCTGCCTACAATGTGGACATTTAATTTACAGCTCTGGTGACTCTATGGAGAATTTGAGAATGGTTATCTGGGTACTAAGGATGATGGAGCAGAAATACAGAATGAGTCTACACCTGTACTGATTTTATGGAACAGTTGTACCAATTCTGGTCTGCTTGTCTCCTGTATTTCTTTATATAAAATTAAAATAAACTTATTTGTTGATGTTGTTTTCATTCTGTTATTGACACTAAAATGTATTAAGGTTATAAAATTTTGTACCCAGAAGTGGAGTGCTATGGATAAAAGAAATCTCAAGTATGGCATTGACTTTGTGCCATCATGAATGAGAATTAACCCACTTCAGGCTAGAAAACTAAAGATTTTTGCTTTCCTAGACAGGACATTTGGTCTGGCTCCCTTCCAGTCTATCTTACAAGGCAGATTCTTCACCAGTTAAGACTGTAATGTTAGTAGAAATGGTAGGAGTGATTCAGAATGTGTGTTGGGTGTTTCTTGTTGCTTTTGGTAATGTCCCGTGAAAGATAAATTTGGTATAGACTTAGCTGCAGAGGCTACTAGCAGAGATTGAAAGCGATATTGCTTTGTTAAGAGATGCTGTCTCTCCCTACAGGCATTCAATCCTGGTTGACAGTAAATTTTTTAGGTGTTTGGGATATATCAATGAGCAACTCTAGCAGGAGGAGATAGAATTAATAATAGAAAAATTACAGAGTATGTTAGAACATTAGCGTTATGGAGGAAAGGTCATTCAAAAGTAGCTAAGAGGAATATGAAAGTTTATGAAATGGACCATAGATAAGGAAAGATTCGAGTCAAGATTTGAAGATGTGAAGGAGTAAGTCAGTGGTTATCTACAGGAAGAGCACTGCAGACAGGAAAAAGCTAGAACAAAGGCCCTACAATGGCATGATGCTGGTATACTTGAGGAACGTCAAAGAAGCTCTTGTAGAGGGCTGTGCAAGGGGGTTATAATTGAGGAAGATGGAGAGAGAACAGGGCCATATCTTGTAAGTCACTTTAAGCATTTTGTAATTTTTTCTGATGGAAATGGCAGCCACTGGAGTGTTTGAGCAGGGGATGTGATTTGAAAGGCTGCTATTGTGTTGCTAAAAGAAAAAACAACTAAATGGGCAAGAGACTGGCCTCTTAATTCAGATGAAAGATGATGTTGGCTCACACCATGGTGGTAACAATGGGGAGAAGTTGTTCAATTCTAAATATAGGGTAAATGTGAGCCAGCAAGACTTGTTTAAGGTTTGGATATCAGGTGAGAGAGAGGGTTCTGGGGTGACTTTGACTCACAGACTTGTTTAAGGTTTGGATATCAGGTGAGAGAGAGGGTTCTGGGGTGACTTTGACTCACAGGTTTTGGTCTCAAACAATTAGAAAGATGGTATTCCCATCAGCTGAGATGGGGAAAGCTGCAATTCCATTAGGTTTGTTGGGGAAGTTTGGGAGTTCAATTTTGAACATGTTGAATTTGAAATATCTTTTAGACAAAATGATAATATTGATTAGGCACTTGGATGTTTTAGCTTGTACTGTTCTAGAGATTATATGAACTTGGTAGGTATTGCCTATACTTACATGAAACCATGAGGCACAATACGATCATTAAAGACCTGGGTATAGATTGAGAAAAGACTGATCCACAGTGCCCTCTAACATTAAGAGTTCAAGGATAAAAGGACAGACTAGCAAAGGATGCTAAGAAGGAGCAGTGGGATGGAAGGAAAAACAGAATAGTGTGGCATTACAGAAGCTAAATGAAAGTGAGTCAAAGGAAGGATGATCAGTGGTTGTAGATACCGTTAGCAGATGACATAATACTAGACAATACTTGAGAATTGAACATATCCATGTTATTGTTGATCTTGAGAAGAGAAGGGGTATTTTTGTTTTGGAGTGGTTGAATTAAGAAACTGTTGAAAAATAGAAATTGGAGACAATGAATATAGACACAACTGTTTGGAGGTGTTTCCTGCAATGAAGCAAACAAACAAACAAAAAACAGTTAATTAGTGTGGCAGCAGGAATTGGAGTATCTCCAGGATGGGAGAAGTAATAACAGTTCTGTATGCTGGTTGGAATAATACAGATGGGGGTAATAATTCATAACAAAGAAGTGAGAATTACTGGAGCAATGACCTTATGTCAGTGAGAGGGGATAAGATTTAGCAGATGGAGGGATCATTTTGGGTAATATGGAAAGTTTATTCCTGGCAATACTATATGGCAGAATATGGGGTGCTGGGAAGTAAGTAGATGAGGTGGGAGAAGTTTTGTGAAGTGTTCTGATTCCTTCAGTGATCCCATGAGTGTTAAGGTTAGCTGAAAATATTGGGGAATGAGAAGTTTGGGGGCCAAAAGAAAAGAGATATAAAAGAGTCACCAAAGTGAGATATTTAATGTGAAATATGATTGCCTAGGAACAGAGGGATAGAAAAAAGAGAGTACAAAGGGGCCAGTAAGCAAAAGAAATCAGGCTTAAAACTGTATTTACACAAGATCTTTGACATTATAATTAAACAGCAAATACTTTGAAAGCCTATTGAGTTTTTGAGGGAAATGTACTACTGTTAATGAAACGCAATCCTGGCCTGCAACAGTGTATGACTCAAATCCCCCAAAAAGTTCCCAGGCTTTGGAACAAATCCATCAGGAAATGACCCACTTAGGTAACTTTTCCAAGGATGTATATGAAATTGAATATTTCTAGCTATATAAGCTACTAGCAGAGATTGAAAGTGATATATGTATATATAGAGACAGCAAGCAAGCTAGAATGTAGTTTCTCTTTTTTCATTTGCTTTTTAAGAATATATAAATTGTATGTTTTAAAAACCTGCCTTGCTTTTTTCACGTACATATTTTGGCAATGATTCCAGTTGCTGTTGCTGCATAACTCCACTCCAAACTTGGCTTAAGATACAATAATAATTTATTTAGCTCACACATCTATAAAAATATGGACGAGGCTTGGCAGCAACTGCTCATCTCTGATTAACATAGCCTCAGATGGGGTGGCTTGAAAGCTTGATGGCTGAAAGCTGGGATCATCTGAAGTTTCACATGCTTACATGTCTGGCAGTTGATTCTGGCTATCAACTGGACCTTAGATAGGGTGGTCAGCCAGAACATCTATCTGATAGATATGATCTATCTATCATATCTACATGTGATATCTCTATGTGGCTGCTTAGCGTGGTGTCTTGGGTTCCAAGAATATGCCCTAAACAAGGTCAAAGCGCATGTAATTTTTATGATCTAGCCTCAGAAATCACATAACCTCACTTGTGTCATACTCCCATCGGTTGAGGCAGTTACAGCTCTGTAAAAGAAGTGTCACATTTTTTTTTAAATTTTATTTATTTGACAGAGACAGAGAGAGAGAGAGGGAACACAAGCAGGGGGAGTAGGAGAGGGAGAAGCAGGCTTCCTGCTGAGCAGGGAGCCCGATGCGGGGCTCGATCCCAGGACACTGGGATCATGACCTGAGCTGAAGGCAGACGTTTAACCGTCTGAGCCACCCAGGCACCCCAAGAAGTGTCCCATTTTAAGAAGAGCTTGTAGGATAGGATATACAGTGGCCTGTTTTGAAAATGCAATATGCCATAAAGATCTTCCATACCTAGCCTGGGAAGTTGCATAATTTCACTTCTGCTATTCTCTGTTTAGGCAGCTACATCTTGATAGGAGAGTGTCACATTGTAAGTAGAGCATATGGGGTAGGGTGGCCCACTTTGGTGGGCCTTTTTGGAAAATATATTCTGTCTCAGAGATCCTCTCCTACATGAAATTACCTCATTTTTATGGTGGCATATTGTTATAACTATATATTCTTTTATTTATTTATTTATTTGACAGAGAGAGACGCAGTGAGAGGGGGAACACAAGCAGGGGGAGAGGGAGAGGGAGAAGCAGGCTTCCCGCGGAGCAGGGAGCCCGATGCGGGGCTCGATCCCAGGACCCTGGGATCATGACCTGAGCCGAAGGCAGACGCTTAACGACTGAGCCACCCAGGCGCCCCATATAACGATATATTCTTTTAGTGATACACCATAATTTTGGCAGACTGCCAGAATTTTCAGTTTTTTCCTAGGTGCTTGGCTGCCCTGCTAGGTACCAAATTTCCCATTCTCCCTTGCCAGTTGTGGCCCTGTGACTAAGGGAAACATTATCAGAAGTGATACATAATTTCCTTCTTATTTGCTCAAAAATTTCCGTAAGAGTAGGATGCCCGGGTGGCTGAGTCAGTTAAGCATCCAGCTCTTGATTTCGGCTCAGGTAATGATCTCAGAGTCGTGAGATTGAGCCTTGTGTTGAGCTCCATGCTCAGCAGAGTCTGTGAGATTCTCTCTCTCCCTCTCCCTTTGCCCCTCCCCTCTTCTCTCAAATAAGTAAGTCTTTAAAAAAATTTCCATATGAGTATAGAAATAACTCCCAATACATTATTAATTACAGTTAGTGTAAATATTTAATGTGGCTATTAAGGATATATTTTACTTCCAGTTCTGGACCAAGGTGGAGTATAAAGAAATATGAAGCTATTGTAAAAGAGTAACTATAAGATATAAAAGAACTTGAAAAGTACCCAAAGACTGAAGGAGAGTATCCAGGGAAGGATAAATTTTGAAGATGGGCCCCATCTCTAAACCTGGGGTTCAGATTTCATCATAGAAGGTATGGTTTCAGCCCCACTGAATGGTGGAGAATTTTGGTGGGGTGCCGGGGCTAGAGCTAATCTATACTTGTTGAGCAAGCAGGAAACAAACCTTTGGGACACAAATGAGTTGCAATATTAATAGTAGGGAACTTTAACACAGCACTTAGATCAATGGATAGATCATCCAAACAGAAAATCAGTGAGGAAACAGTGACTTTAAAAGACACATTGGACCAGGTGGATCTACAGATATATTCAGAACATTCCATCCTAAAACAGCAGAATACATATTCTTTCCAAGTACACAAGGAAAATTCTCCAGAATAGATCACATATTAGGCCACAAAATAAGTCTCAACAAATTAAAAAAACATTGACGTCATATCATGCATCTTTTCTGGCCACACCACTATGAAACTAGAAGTCTACCATAAGAAAAAATCTGGAAAGAGCACAAATACATGAAGGTTAAATAACATGCTACTAAACAATGAATGGGTCAACCAAGAAATTAAAGAGGAAATAATACATGGAGACAAGTGAAAATGAAAACAGCCCAAAATCTTTGAGATGCAGCAAAAGCTGTTCTAAGAGGGAAGGTTAGAGCAATACACGCCTACCTCAAGAAGGAAGAAAAATCTCAAACAACCTAAACTTCCACCTAAAGGAGCTAGAAAAAGAACAAACAAAACCCAAAAACAGTAGAAGGAAGGAAATAATAAAGATTAGGCCAGAAATAAATAGAAACTAAAACAAAAGATCAATGAAACCAGGGCTTCAAACTAACACTAGTCCCTCCCATTGGTACATACCTTAGGTCACAGCCCATAGCTTCACAAATAATTTCCTGATAGGACTTCCCCAAATGGCCCTTGTAATAAACAGTTTCCCCTGCTTCCCAGAGCCTTACCCTTGTGTGGCCCTTCTATAAGACCCTCATGAAGCTTATATAAATCCCACTCTTTTTTATTTGAATTAACCAATCTGGCCTTAGCATTAGAATCCTAAGACACACTACCTACAGACCCTAATGAAAGCATGTGCCCTAGGTCCTGCTGCACTTTCTGTCTGCATTCTGCCTGGACCTACCTGCGTTGTCCCTGGAGGCATGCTGTGTACTTCCTCCCAGACCTGTGAGTAATAAACTCTATTTCAATTTCTTTTTGGCCTTTTGTTGAACCCCAGCTCAGCATCCAACATTGTGGCACTCTACTTTATAAATATTAATTTAACAAAGTTAAAATGGAGGTATGCTAGTAACAACTCCCTCAGCTTTTGTTTACCTGGAATATCTTAATTTCTCTTTCATTTTTGAGGTTAGTTTTGCTAGATATAGAACATCTGTCAGGGTTTTTTTCTCTTTTGGAATGTTGAATACATAATCTGATTTTCTCCTGACTTCCATGGTTTCTGATGAGTAATCAGCTGTTAATTTTATTGAAGCACCTTTGTATGTAGCATTGATTGCCTCCTACTGCTTTCAAGAATCTTTGTCTTTGCTTTTCAATAATTTAATTGTAACATTTCTCAGTGTTGATCCCTTTGAGTTTATCATGCTTGCAGTTGATTGAAGATCTTGAAAATGTGTATTTCATGTCTTCATCAAGTTTGGGAAGATTTTGGCAGTCATTTCTTCAAATATTTTTTCTGCCTCCTTCTTCCTCCCTTCTGGACTCCCTATTATGCATATATTGATGTGCTTGATGGTGTCATATAGCTCTCTCAGGCCCTCTTTTTTTCTTTTTTTCATTCTTTTTGTTTCTAGTCTTCAGACTAGATCATTTCAATCGCCCTATCTTTAAGTTCACTAAGTTTTCTGCCTCCTCAGATCTGTCACTCGACTCCTCTAGTGAATTTTTCATTTCAGCTATTGTACTTTTCAGCTCCAGAATTTCTTTTTGGTTCCTTTTTATAGTTTCTATCTTTTAATCAACATTCATTTTTGTTCATATATTGTTTTCTTGATTTACTTTAGTTTTTTGTCTAGTGTTTTACTTAGCTCATTTAGCATATTTTGCATAGCTGGTTTAATGTATTTGACTAGTAATTTCAATGTCTTCATTTCCTCAGTGATAGTTTCTGTCAGATTCTTTTTTATATGTGAATGGTACATACTTTCCTGTATTTTAATGCTTTGTAGTTTGTTGCTGAGATGTAGATATTTTGAGTAGTATAATGTTTTAAGTTTGGAAATCAGATTATTTCCCTTCTTGGGGATTTGCTGATTTCTGTTTGTTGAGGACTGCAGCCATTCATTATCTAGTGAGTTCTCCAAACTGTTTTTGCAAAGTTTGTATTCCATGTTGTATGTCGTCACTGAAGTTTCTGTTACATTATCTCTGAGGTCAGGCAGAGATATTGATTAAAACTTCAAGAAAATATAACAGTTATAATCATATGCACTGTCTTAGCTTGGGCTTCTATTAAACAATACCATAAACTGGGTGTCTTAAGCAACAAAAATTAATTTTCTTACAGTGCTAGAGGCTGGAATTTGGAGATCAGGGTCCCAGCTGGTCAATTTCTGGTGAGAGCTCTTTTTTTTTTTTTTAATGAGAGCTCTTTTATTGGATTGCAGATGGCTGCTATCTTGCTCTGTGCTCACATGACCACTTCTTTGTCCAAATGCAGAGAAAGAGGATTAAGCTCTCTGGTATCTTTTTTTTTTTTTTTTTAAAGATTTTATTTATTTATTTATCTGACAGAGGGAGACACAGAGAGAGAGGGAACACAAGGAGGGGGGAGTGGGAGAGGGAGAAGCAGGCTTCCCATGGAATGGGGAACCCAATGTGGGGCTCGATCCCAGGACCCCGGGACCATGACCTGAGCCGAAGGCAGACACTTAATGACTGAGCCACCCAGGCACCCCTCTCTGTTATCTTTTCTTATACGAGCACTATTCCGGTCATGAAGGTTTGTCCCTCATGACTTTATCTAACCCTAATTATCTTCCAAAGGCCCCATCTCCATTACAATAGGGGTTAGGGCTTCAACACATGAATTTGGGAGACACACAAATATTCATTCTATAATATGTGTCTAACAACAGAGCTGCAGAATATATGAAGTAAAAAAAATGACATTATTGAACATACAAATAGTTATACAATAGTACCTGGAGTCTTGACTACTCCACTTTCAATAATGAATTAAACAATGAGTCACTAAATTCTACACCTGAAATTAATATTACACTGTATGTTAACTAACTGGACTTTAAATAAAAACTTGAAAACAAAACAAAATAATGAGTAAAACAATGAAATAGAAAATCAGTAAGGAAATAGAAGACTTGAACAATACCATAAGTCAACAGACAAAACAGAATACTCAACCCATTAATAGCAAAACACTGATTTTTGTCTTAAGTGCATTTTGAACATCCTTCAGGATAGAACAAATAATTAGCTACAAAACAAGTCTTAATACATTTTAAGAGACTGAAAATATACCACATATCTTTACCAATTACAATGGAATGAAACTAGAAATAACAGGACAAAATTCATATATATGTGGAAATTAAGCAACACACTTTTTGAAGTATAATTAATACGCAATTCTGTTAGTTTCAGGTGTACAAACATATGGATTCAACAATTCAATACATTACTCAGTGCCCACCACACTAAGTGTAGTAAACATACAACGTTATTACAATAGTATTGGCTGTATTCCTTATTTTTTATTTCACATCTCTGTGACTTTATCACTGAAAATTTGTACCTTTTAATTCCCTTTGTCTATTTAACCCACCCCCACACCCATACCAGCCTTCCCTCTAAGCAAATACCAGTTCATTCTCTGTATTTAAGAGTCTGGGTTTTTTGTTTTGTTTTGTTTTGTTTTGAAACAATTATACTGTTAAGAAAACTAGATTAAATAAGAAATCCAAAAATGAAAGTATAAAACAATTTAGGATAAATGAAAATTAAACACAACTTACCAAAAGTTATAGGATGTAGTGGGCCCAGTGGAATGGAGCTAGAAATCAATAGCAGGAGGAGAAGTGGAAAATCCACAAATATGTGGACATTAGAATTTTAACCAGTGCATCAAAGAATAAATCACAAGAGAAATCACAAAAGATCTTGAGACAAACTGAAAAACGTAACATACCAACACTTACAGAATGCATCCAAATCAGTGCTAAGAGAAACTTATAGCTGTAAACATTTACATTTTAAAAAAGATCTCAAATCAATAACCTAACTTTATATAATATGGAAGTAGAAAAAAGAATTTAAACCCAAAACTATCAGAAGAATGGAAATAATAAAGATTAGAGCACAGATAAGCAATATAAAGATCAACTAACCCAGGAGCCGGTTCCTTGAAAATAACGGCAAAATGGAAAAACTTTTGGCAGTTGACTATTAAAACAGACAAGAGAGAGAAGACTCAAATTACTAAACTCAGAAGTGAAAGTAGGGACTTTACCAATTTTACAGAAATAAAAAGGATTATAAGAGAATACTATAGCAATTGTAGGCTAAGCAATCTGATAATCTTGATGAAATGGGAAAACTAGAAATATACCCCTAGCAATACATAAACTACAAAAACAATGCAAGAAGAAATAGAAAATCCAAACAGACCTTTAACAAAAAAAGGAAATTAAATCATTAAGCAAAACGCTCCTAACAAAGAGAAGCCCAGGTCCGGATAGCTTCACTGGTGAATTCTTCCAAACATTTAAAGAATTAACATCAATGCTCCTCAAACTCTTCCCAAAATTTGTACTAGAGGAATCACTTCCAAACTCATTCTATGAGGTCAACATTACCTTGTCATTAAAGCCAAGAAAAAGGGAGGGGGAGGGGGCACCTGGGTGGCTCAGTCGTTAAGCGTCTGCCTTCAGCTCAGGTCATGATCCCAGGGTCCTGGGATGGAGCCCCACATCGGGCTCCCTGCTCAGCGGGAAGCCTGCTTCTCCCTCTCCCACTCCCCCTGCTTGTGTTCCCTCTCTCACTGTGTTTCTATCAAATAAATAAATAAAATCTTTTTAAAAGGGGGGGGGACAATACAAGAAAAAAAAAAAACACTACAAGCCAGTATCCCTTGTGAATACAAATGAAAATAGATACGAAGATCCTCAACACAATACTAGCAATAATAACATGCTAGTGAATTCAGCAACCTAGTAAACGAACTATATGCTATGACCAAATGGAATTTATCCCAGTCCTGTGAGGGTGGTACAACGTATAAAAATCAATGTAATGTTAGGCACCTGGGTGGCTCAATCAGTTAAGCCTCCAAGTCTTGATCTCAGCTCAGGTCTTGATCTCAGGGTCATGAGTTCAAGCCTGGCATTGGGCTCCACACTGGTTGTGGAACCTACTTTAAAAAAAAAAAAAATCAATGTAATGTGCTACATTAAAAGAATGAAGAGAAAAACTATATGATCAATTATGTGTCAGCTTCTCTCTGAAGAGAATGGTGAATATGGATGGGAACACCAGTGTCATGCCTGAGGTATAGTAAGGAAATAACTTGACAAAAGCAAATATTTAAATGTTCTTTATTTTTTTTTATTACAAAAGATACAGAGAATAAGAACCTACCTATAAACCAACAACCAGCTTTATCAATTTATAAGAATTGGCCATATTTGCTTATTTTTTAAAGAAGTAAATGATTAAAAGATATCTCCCTTTGCATCCTTTTCTCAATCTCATTTTTCTCCTCCTGCAGACAGATGTCACTACTGTTTTGGATTTAATTATTAGTTCCATGAATGTTGTAACACTAAATCTATATGGTATTTAGCCATATACACATAGCATCAATTTGCATATTTTCAAACTTTATATAAGTGGTACCGTCTCATACAAAATACTCTCTAGTTCAATTTCATTAATATTGTTTTAACATTTATTCATGTTTGTTTTTTGGTTTTGTGTTTTTTTTTAGATTTATTCATGTTGATAGAAGTATCTCTACTTCATTCCTTTTAACTTGGGCTATAACTTACATTCACCCTAATGGTTATTTTGATTGCTTTAAACTTTTCATTCTCAAATGATGCTGAAATAGACTTTCATGTACATCACCCTAAACACATGAGGAGAGACTATAAGAGGTTTAAGTATGGAACTGCTGGGTCAGAGAGTAACCACATTTTCAACTTTACTAGATATTGCTAAATTATCCTAAATACAACTACTTCCAATAACACTGTATGAACATTCCTACTGCTCCACATCTTTCCAGTAATTGGCTCTGTGACGCTTTTGCCAATATGATGATTTTGAAATACTTCACTGTGGTTTTGTTTGCATTTCCCTTACTGTAATGGATATAAACAATTATTCTAGTAAACCCAAATCCATCCTTTATTTACAGGTATAAACCATCTTTATCATATGCAGAATTTCTACAAATAGGTCAGATTCAACAATTTTCTTGCTGTCTTAAGAATTCACACTTCACAGATGAATTTCAGAACAAAGTTGTGAAATTAAAGGGCAAAAAGACCTGAGGAATTTTGGTTTTAATTGCAGTTAATTTGTGAACTAGGAATAACATAACATTATTATCCTGAGTCTCTTCAGCCTAGATTATATGCTACTACTCAGTTTATTATTCTTCATTTTGCTGAGTCTAGAGAATCTATTGTTTTATATTTAACTATAAGCAATTTCAATTCAATTTCAGCTTTAAATAACTTTAAATAACTCCATGAGGACATAGTCTTAGTATTGGTCACTATTGTCTCCTCATATCTAAAACAGTGTCCAGCAAACGGTAGCTACTCAATATTCACTGAATGAGTGGAAGCATGTATTTCAAATATGTAAAAGCCTATATATGTCTGTAACTTTTTTCCCTCAATCCCCTTTTCATTTCAATTTTACAACCACTGGTTAAAAATTTTACAAACTTTATACTTTTTCTGTGGTATGAAACAATTTAAATGCTTCTTAAATTTACCTAGATTCACCCAATACAATTGCCTGGGCCTGGTGCCTTTTTTTGGTTAATTGTGATACTCTATTCTTTTTCTTGATCTAAATGAGTTCTATATTCCTCTCTGTGAATCCTCATTTTCTTTATATTGATTGGTTTATCCAATTCTCTTTAGAAACTTCCTAAAACTGGTTGTAGGTGTAGGTCTACTACTTGTGTCTATATTGATTATTTATCTAGAGTATGCAGACTCCCACTTATGTTTGTAAAATTTTTGGGTTTTCTCAATTCTGATCTGCTGCTTCCCAGGGATGTTTTCCTTTGTCCATTGAGGAATCTTGTTCTAGCTGTGAGGAGTAAGTGAGTTAATATATGTTGAGTGTGTAGAACAGTGCCTGGTGCATAGTAGGCACTCAATACATGTTAGCTATTATGATTTATTGAATATCTGCTATGTTTAATGTGCTATGTGAAGCACTTTACATGCAAATTTATTAATATGCATCAATCTACAACAGACACTATTTCATTTAATAATCACATTTCTACAATACAGTATCCTTTATTATCCCTATTTTAAGAATTAAAGAAAACCCTGAGGTTTAGATAAGTCAAACAAATTACTCAAAGTCACATAATGCCACAGTAGTGGTAGAGCTATGATTTTCCAGAATCTAAGCTCTTAGTCCTGGGAAGTGCCTAGTGCTCAGAGAAGGAGACTGGAATAAAATAAGGCTGAAAGGTATAGAACCAGATAATGAAGTGCCTCATGGACAATTTTAAGACTGTGGATATTAGCTTAAGAACAATAGTAAGCCCCAAAAAAGTTTTAATTGGAGGCAGTGATGCATTTTTACACTCAAAAAAATCAGTTTGGGGGCATGACGGGAAATGAATTTAAAGGGACCAAAAGTTGATACAGGAAGACCTGTTAGAAAGCTACAGCATGGTGATCAGGTGAGATGAATCTTAGACTAGGGCAACAACATTAGAGATAGAGAAAAGAGTATAAATTCTGGAAATATTTATGAGATAGTGTCTAGAGGACTTGGTGATTGACTGGATTGGGTGGTGAGAGGGACTCCCCAAGATGGATTCTTTGATGATGAGCAAGGTGTGCATGCTGCCTGAAAGTTTTCTTGCATTCCTTACATTCGTAAGGTCTCTCTCCAGTATGAATTCTCTGATGTTGAGCAAGGGATCCACAGTAACTAAAAGCCTTTCCACAAACGTTACATTCATAAGGCTTCTCTCCAGTATGAACTCTCTGATGTTGAGTAAGGGATGAGTCATTGCTAAAAGCCTTCCCACATTTAATACATTCATAGGGTTTTTCTCCAGTATGAACTCTTTGATGTTGGGCAAGGTAGGCAATCTGGCTGAATGCTTTCCTACATTCTTGACATTTATAAGGTTTTTCTCCAGTATGAATTCTCTGATGTTGAGCAAGATGTGAATTCTGGCTGAAAGCCTTCCCACATTCCTTACATTCATAGGGTCTCTCTCCAGTATGTATTCTCTGGTGTACAGTAAGGTATGCACGAAGGCTAAATGCTTTCCCACAGACATTACATTCGTATGGTTTCTCACCAGTATGAACTCTCTGGTGTTGAGCAATGGATGATCTATTGCTAAATGCTTTCCCACATTCAATACATTCATAAGGTTTCTCTCCAGTATGAACTCTCTGATGTTGAGCAAGGTAAGCAAACTGGCTAAAGGCTTTCCTACACACCTTGCATTCATAAGGTTTTTCTCCAGTATGAACTCTCAGATGTTGAACAAGGTGTGCATTCTGACTGAAGGCTTTCCTACATTCCTTACATTCATAGGGTTTCTCTCCAGTATGAATCCTCTGATGTTGAACAAGATTTGATCTCTGGCTGAAGGCTTTTCCGCATTCTACACATTTATATGGTTTCTCTCCAGTATGAATTCTTTGATGAAGAGTAAGAGATGAGCTCTGGCTAAAGACTTTTTCACAGTCATTACATTTCAAGAGTTTCTTCTCTGTATAGATACTCTTGGGCTTAATGGCCATTAAATTTTTTTTAAAGCTTTTCTTATGTGTATCATGTTTATGTACTTTCTCCTCTTTGGTGATTATCTGTTGTGTATGAAGCAGTGTGTTCGGATGGAAACTTCCCCAAGATTTGTTATATTCTTGTGCTCTTTTATTAATAAGGGCTTCTTCATGAGTGATTGTCTCTTCTTTGAAACATGCCTTCTGATTTACTGGCTGCCTCTCAGAACGGCCCTCGCATTTCCATTCTTCTCTCAAACTGGAATACTCAAGGCCATAGCTTGTGAGTTTTTCTGTTATCTTCTGTGATGATTGTGCTTCATAAATGTCCTGCTTTGAAGTTAATTCTTCAGTCTCACACATAGATTCCCAGCCTGAAAAACAGTAATTTAAAAAAATGTCTCTTCTATCATGTACCAGAAGGAACATTTGTGAAAGTACATTCATAAAGTGAAGTATGTGAATTTAATAAATAAATAAATAGTAAATAATAAATAAATAAATTTAATAAATAAAACTACAAGAACATTTGCTTTTGTAGTTCTGATGTTTGCAAGAAACTGAAAATAGGTCACACAGAAACTTGAGGAGGAATGAATAGAATTTTAAGAAAGTCAGTAAGGTAAATCTCAGGTCAATAAGGAATTATAGAGGGGGAGGGACTTGGTTGTAATTTTATGCATGTATGAATAACACAGGCACTGAAATAACCTCCATTTTTATAGTTGCTTCTTTCAAGAATATTCATTGAAACTTGTGCCATATATTCTCCTAAATGCTTTTGATAGTAAACAAAACAAAGATCCTTAACTTTGTGGACCTTATATTCTTAGGAGAGATAGGAAATAAATGCTAAATGAGTAAATTTTATTGTATATTAGGAAGTACTAACTGCTACAGAAAATGAAAGGCAGGGTAAAAGAGATTAGGAATGTTGGTGAAGCAAGAGGTAGGAATAATTAGTAAGTTAACATTTAAGCAAAGATTTGAAGGAAGTGAAGAAGTTTGTCACTCACATTCTAGGCAAAGGAAACAGCCTAAAAGTAGAAGTATGTTTGCTATGTTTGAGGAATAGCAAGAAGGCCAGTGTTGCTGGAGAGGTGTAGTAGATGAAGTCAGGAGAGAAAAGATTATTTAAGCTTTATATGCTTTCTAAGGAATTTGGCTCTTACCCTGAGTGGGATAGAGAACTACTGAAGTGTTTGTGGAGTAGAGGAGTGATACCTATTTACAGTTTAATAAATATACTGAAAGGTGGCAAATAGGGAAGAAGCAAGGGGACCTATGATTTTAGTAATCCAGGTGAAGATGATAAGTAACCAGACCAAGGAGCTATCAATGGAGGTATAGCGAGATGGTCAGATTCTAGGTATATATTGTAGGAAATGCCAAGAGGATGTCCTGACAAATTGGATATGAAATGTAACAGAAAAATGAGATAAGCAAGCCATCAAAGTCTATGGTCTGAGCAATGGCAGGATGGATTAGCCATCAACAGAGAAAGGGAAGGCCATGGGCACAGCAGGTTTAGGTGCAGAGATATGGAAGATCTGGAATTCAGTTTTGAATATAATAAACTTAAGGTGTTTTTTATTTTTTTAAGGTTTTATTTATTTATTTGACAGAGAGAGAAACACAGCGAGAAAGGGAACACAAACAGGGGCAGAGGGAGAGGGAGAAGCAGGCTTCCTGCAGAGCAGGGAGCCCGATGCAGGGCTCGATCTCAGGACCCTGGGATCATGACCTGAGCTGAAGGCAGATGCTTAATGACTGAGCCACCCAGGCGCCCCAAGGTGTTTTTTAGATAATGAAATGGAACTCCTGAGAAGGCAGATGGACCCATAAGACTGAGTTTAAGATAGAGGTCTCTAGGAATTGCCAACATATACATGGTAGTTTTGTTTTGTTTTTTTTTAAGACTTTATTTATTTATTTGTCAGAGAGCACAAGCAGGAGGAGCAGCAGGCAGAGGGAGAAGCAGGTTCCCCGCTGAGCAGGAAGCCCGATGCGGGACTCAATCTCAGGACCCTTAGATCATGACCTGAGCTGAAGGAAGACGCTTAACTGACTGAGCCACCCAGGTGCCCACCAGCAAATACATGGTAGTTAAAGAGACTATATTACCAAGAGAATGAGTGTAGATAAAGAGAAGATAAAGGAGCAAATAATGAACAACACTAAAGCATGCCAACATTAAGATATTTGAGAAAAGAGAACAAAACAAAACAGATTAAGAAGGAATAAGTGTTAAAAAAAATGTTAAGGGGTGCCCCCCCATAAATTTGCATAAAGGGAGAAGATGCATACTTTGCTTTTCTATATAAAGAACCAACAATGTAAAGACATTAATTCTAAATCAATCTATTACTTCCATTCACAATCAGAACTGCATTGTGAATTTTTTAAAAAATTGTGTAATTAAGAATTTGGCAGGGGGGCGCCTGAGCAGCTCAGTCGTTAAGCATCTGCCTTCGGCTCAGGTCATGATTCCAGGGTCCTGGGATCGAGCCCCGCATCCAGCTCCTTGCTCCATGGGAAGCCTGTTTCTCCCTCTCCCACTCCCCCTGCTTGTGTTCCTTCTTCTTGCTGTGTCTCTCTCTGTCAAATAAATAAACAAAAATCTTAAAAAAAAAAAAAAAAGAATTTGGCAGGATTTTGTCAGTGGTTCCCAACTAGTAACCCTCTAAATCCTCTATATTCCTGGAAGGAGTGTCACTGTTATTCATAGTGAGCCCCTTGGACCACATCTGCTAGTTCATAACTACAGTTTATGACTCATGACATGCCCCTATGTAGTGTTTACTAATGTGATGATTTAGGATGGAGGCTAGCCATGCCAGAAAGACCAACCACGTGACTTAAAGGGTTGGTGTTTTGAGCCACCATGATATCAGTTTGACTTTTGGGAAGGGAAAGAGGCTGGAGATTGAATCATGTTGGGCACTGGGCAATGACTCACTCAATCATGCCTACATAATGAAACCGAAACACAAATACCCTGTACAATGATGCTCTCTTGAGAGCCTATTCTTTTGAATACTGAAATGTCTGGAGGGCCCCTTCATGTTTGCAGCTCTCTCAGACCTTGCTCTTGGTGTCTCTACTTTGGGCTGGTTCTTTGTATCTTTTGTTAAAACAAAACTGTAATCATAATATAGTTCTTTCCTGACCTCTGTGAGTCACTGTTGTGAATTATCAAACGTGAGGGTGACTGCAGGTACCCCCTTATCAGTAGCCAGCATGTCAGAAATGAGCGTGGCCCTGAAGATCCAAACTTGCAGTTGGTGTCTGAAATAAGCACAGTCTTGTGTAGACTGTTCTCTCAGATTTTGCAGTTTGGCAAACTGACTTCAAGAATTTTTTTAAATCCTAAAGTATATCAAAAAAGTAAACGTGTATCTAGGACAGACTATGTGTTGTCCATAAAAGATGCATTAATAAATTTTAAAAGATTGAAATCACAAATTATCTTTCTCAATCATAATAAAATGAAACTAGCAATCAATAGCAAAATGAAAACTGGAAAAAATCCACAAATATGTGGAAATTTAACACTTAAACAACCAATGGGTCAAAGAAGATATCACAAGTTATCTTGAAACCAATGGAAATAAAAATATAACATACCAAAAATTATGGGATGCATCAAAAGCTGTGCTAAAAGGGAAATGTATAGCTGTTAATGCTTACATTAAAAAACAAGAGCTCAAATCAACAACCTAACTTTACATCTTAACAAACTAGAAAAAGAGTAACTAAACCCAAAGCTAGGAGAAAGAAGAAAATAATGAAGATTGAAGCATCTAATAGATAAACAAAATAAGTAGAAAAGTAATAGAATCAGCAAAACCAAGAGACAGTTATTCAAAAAGATCGACAAAACTGACAAACTTTTTTTGGGTTGACTAAGAAAAAAAAGAAGATGCAAATAACTAAAATCAGAAATGAAAGGTGCCACATTATTACCAATTATACAGAAATAAAAAGGATTATAAGAGAGTACTATAAACAACTGCATGCCAACAAATGGGGTAAACTGGATAAAATGGACAAATTCTAAGAAACACACAACCTACCAAGACTGAATCATAAAGAAATAGAATATCTGAACAGACCCTAGTTATAACTAGTAAGTTGACTGAATCAGTAATCCAAAACCTTCTAACAAGAAAAGGCCTAGGACCACATAGTGTCTGTGGTGAATTCTATCACACATTTAAAGAATTCACACAGATCCTCCTCAAACTTTTCCAAAGAAATGAAGAGGAGTGCAGACTTCCAAACCCATTCTATGAGGCCATCATTACTGTGATACCAAAGCCAGACTAAGATACCATAAGAAAACTAGAGACCAATATCTCTTATGAGAATTGATGTAAAAATCATCAATAAATACTAGCAAACTGAATTCAACACCATATTATATGGATTATACACTGTGACCAAGTGGAATTTATTGCTGGAATGCAAGGATGGTTCAGCAAAAATTAATGTAACACACATTAACAGAATGAAGGAAAAAAACATGATCATTTCAATTGGTGCAGAAAAAGCATTTGACAAAAATCCAACACCCTTTCATGATAAAAACACTCAACAAACTGGCAATAGAAGGAAACTACTTCAACATAATACAAGCCATATATGAAAAGCCCATAGCTAAAATCATATTTAATGGTGAAAGACTGAAAGCTTTCCTCTAAGATTTCCAGGAGCAAGGCAAGAATGCATACTTTCACCACTTCTAGTCAATATAGTACGGATATTCTAGCCAGAGCAATTAGTCAAGAAAAATAAATTTTAAAAATCCAAATTATAAAGGAAGAAGTAAAATTATGTGCTTGTAGATGACATGCTCTTATATTAGAAACACTAAAGACTCCACATGCCCCCACCACCCATTAGAACTAATAAATTTGGCAAAGTAGGAGGATACAAAGTCAACACATCC